ATAACAAAAGCAATTTATTAGCATAATACAAGTTAGCAGGCATCACATCCTCCTGGCTTTACGTGGGCGGCATCCGTTGTGCGGCACGGGGGTGTTGTCGGTGATCGATACCACCTGCAGGCCGCCCATCGTCAGGCCTTTGATTGCAGACTGCACAACAGACAGGAACACAGTCAGTCATTAAGGTAGCTGGAGGGAACCCATCAGGCTCTGCTTGCTTTAATTACTCCCATCGTGAAAGAAGACCCTACATTTATTTCAGCCCTACTCAGTTTTCCATTAAAGGGGTGATAGAATGATTCTACAGGGTATTTGGTCCTTAAGGTCTCTTAATAGGGTGTGTAACATTGGTTGGGCTGAAAATGGCATATTAGCTGTTCTATGGGCCCTAATCCTAGCCTGGTTAAAAGCCCTAGAATGAAACGACAGGTTTTCTTCCTTTTATGGTACGATCATGAATATCTAGATGAGCTGTGCGCTGATTGGTTGGTTTACAACGAGCAAAGCTGCTGAGAAAAAAACGCATCATAGCAACAAGCACTCACTCACTGAAACATCAAATTGGTGATATGGTAGGGTGACCAGACGTCCTCTTTTACCTGGACATGTCCTACTTTTCATACCTAAAAAAATGTCCGGGGGGAATTTCAAAATCGTCCGAGATTTTGGTCGACTACAGTTCAGCATGTAATTGAAACAGGGAGCCAGCAAGGGACGGAGTGACCGAACCCGACCCGGTGACAGTAGCCTGGACACCGGCGGCCCCTTGCTTCCCTCGGCTCGCATTACCGGCCTCCAGCCCCACTCCTCCGGCTGAGGACAGGCAGCTCATGGCTCTCTGCTGAGGTCCGGTCCAGTCAGCTGCCAGCAGTCGGGGTGTCACAAAAGTACAGGCCAGAACCAGGCAACATCCCTGAATTGACATCAACTCGGTGCTTCGTTTTGATTCGTCTGTTTTATGGTGGAAGTTCGGAATTGTGAGATTTGTAGAGAAAGGAGGTGACGATGGGGTTTGAACTTCTCTGTACGTCCATTTCACCCACTGAACTATTGTTATTGATCTATAACAATGTAAACCCGGTTTTGCATTCTATGACCCCTTTAACTAATAATTGTTATCTGTAAACCTAATTTATTTTCTTGCTGATTTTGACCATAGGGTGCAAGTTTGCAGTTATTAAAGAAATCAACACACTTTTCTAATAAAAAGTACCAAGTATAATCTTAAGACCCGTTTAGATGAGACCTTGGAATCAGACCTAATGATCAGTGCATAATTGTGAGGTGGAAGGAAAATGATCATCTTCGTTGAAAGAAAGCCAAAAGAAGCCTGTTTTTTTTAAATGCGGCTCAGAAAATGAGCCACAATGTCTGCAGCTTTAATAGTTGGTGCAACATTTCACTTTTTCACTTCTCACTACACAAGTGCCATTCAACAATGGCAGTCATTTTCCCATCATTTATTGATAGCGGTGATGTTTATGAGCTAAATCAAAGGAGGTCTCCAGATGTTTACGTTTGCGGACCCTTACTAGTAGGAGCTACTTTACCTTTGGGATTGGTCTGCGTAGTTACTATTTTTTCTAGGTACAGGGTAAGGAGGGGCGTGGAAATATGATCCTTTCGCCTCGTAGACCTTGTGGAAACGTTAAACATAGACCAAGCTTAACTCCCAGCATACTTGGTACTAATATTCAAGAAAAATGCATTGACTATCCTTTTCCCTTCTTCCCCTTTAGTTAGACATTATTTTGTGTGTAGGCATCAGGTATATTATTAGTACCAGCATCAAAACTTGTAATAATAAATAAAACAATGGAGGAACTGCTTACCAGACGTCCAGGGCCAAGACCTTTGACCACAACCCGAACGAACGTAACTCCCTTTGCTGTTGCTTTCTGTTTGGATCAGAAATAAAGACAGAAAATCATGCTGTCCAAACACAGGACCCATAAACCATCAACAGCTCTGGCAGCTTTTATGTAACAAGCTCCCAGTTACATTTAAAGCTCATTAACTAAGTTCTGCTGAAGAGCAGTGAAGCATTCTCTAATAGCATTCTCAAGAGACGATAGCTGTTTCTCAATTCACTAGAACGTGAGTAGGGACTCGTGTTCTCGCCAAGTATGTTCTTGAGAAGAACACAGGAAAGTGTGGACTCTGGGAGAACGGGAGCATGCAGCATAAATACTGCTGATGACATCACCACATGCTCGGCTCGTCTGGAACCGCATTTCACCTCCTGTTATTAATAGTTTCTAGACAATAAATTCATTAAATTTTATTTAGTGGGTGAATAATAATGAACACAGTCTGATAAACACAAATTAAATGACCAGTTTTCCAAATAAAACAGAAATATCGCCATCATAGCCAGCAGTAATTCACACAGGGCTATGCAGAGAGAGGGCTGCTGCAGACAGCTAACATTAGCCCTGGTTGCAGTTAGCCTTGGAGATCCGCTGGTTGCCGCGGTCCGCTCAACTTATTTTCTTTTAAATTCTGCATTAAATCAGTTAATTGGCCATTTAGTGACGCCTAAAAGTATAATATTCTCACATCAAATGATCTTAAAATGTACTTTTATTGAACAACAGCAACAGAAAAGAGAACTTTTAACGTAATGCTCTGAGAGCGTTCTACTGAAAGCTGCTGCTGCCGCAGTGCATGCTGGGAAAGCTGTCAATCTTAAGAATGGACAAGTTTCCTCTGATGCATGCTGGGTAAATAGGGAGGGGCGAGAACAACATCCGGGGACTTTCTTCTCGGTCTGCGGTTCTTGTGAATTGGAACAGTATTAGGGCTGAGGCTGATGGCGTTCCATGACCAACATTAGAACACACAAGTTCACATATCGAGAAACGGCCATTAATTAGTTCTACTGGTTAGAGCACAGATCAGAGAGAAGATCCTGCTGATCCTGAGCAGCAGCTTCACAAAAAAAAAAACTCACCGCAGCGGCAGAGATGCCTGCAGTCTGAGCGGCGATGGGGGTCGACTTCTTGATGTTCTTAAAGCCCTCTGTGCCACACGACGTCCGAACCAAAGACTGTCCTGCGCTGTCTGACAGCTGGATGTGTGTGCTGGTGGAGGATGGAGAGGTTTACTAGGCGCCTTGCTTACGACATATTTTCATCTTGTGTGTAGATATAAGAACATATAACAAGAGGCTGAACCTTAGATTAGTGAGAAGCTGCCGCCTCTACATTAGCCTGCTATTTAAGATGTCGGACATCCAAAAAAAAACACTAAAACAGTGGTAAAATGTCAGGAAAAACACTCCTGAATACAAATAAATTGCAGAGACATGCCTAGGGTATAAAAAAAATAAAACAGTTTCAGAGTAATCTTCCTCACTGGGACTATATGAACCACAGAAGAGAAACAAACCATAACTTTGCTGTCAGAAACGTTCAATATTTTTATATAACTTACTTGTTGTAAGTTGCTTTTATGTGAACAATCGGTAACTCCTCAAACTTCTTCCCAGCCCATCTCAGTGTGCTTTCTTGACCAGGCAACGGAGGAAAATAACTGCAAGATTGAAACTGGAATGAGCGAAGCATTATGACCTGAAATAAAGCAGTGAGCTTATGGGAAAATGAGCAAAATTACAGTCAAGTTTGGTATTAGTTTGCAGGATGATCGAGAAGTGCCGATGAATGGATGTTTAATCTGTTGTTTCACTTTAGAAGAGGACTGCTTCAAAAAAAAAAAAGTTATACCATCTGGACCTGCTGGCTTTGCAGTAATAATATCATTATTCTACCCACAATTTTCTGCTTAAGTAGATAAAAGAAATCTGATAAAGTGAGAGATATATTAAGGAACATCATTTTCCAACTCCATTTACAGTTGGAAACAACAATTTTACTATACTATACCAGTTGGTTAGCTAGAAGATGCTCTATCATCCTAAAAACCTAATTAGCCAGTGGAAATTTAGCTTAACATAAGGCAGGTTCCCCTGGCAACAAATAACAGTGATTCTCTAACCATCAAATAATGTGTGTCCTGGGCAGAAATAAGAAAAACAGAAAAATATGTCATGTTTTATTCATGTTGCACTTAAAAGACACAAAGAAGAACTTACAAAAACATCTATGATGGATAAATGATTATTTATAATATTTTTTTTCTTATATGGAGTATTTATGCCATACGTCGCTGGTGAAGATTCTCAGTCATTGAGGTGATAGTGATTCCAAAAAATGAAAAACAATCCACTGGACTTTGTTTCCAAGTTTGAAGATGTTTCACTTCCCATCCAGGAAGTTTTTTCAATTCAAAAATGTTTCATATATATATATATATATATATATATATATATATATATATATAATTTATTTGATTTTCTGAAAAATATGACCAAATTTAACTGTGGCTTAAGCATCACCCTCTGCTAAATTTCGAGTGATTGTAATATTATTAAAGGTGTTAGTAAATACAGCTACCTGGATTGTTTTTACAAGTCGGTGTTGCATACAAAAGGTATGCAAAGGTATGTTCTGGCTGTTTGTTGTTTTTTTTTTTATTATTTTGGATTGTTTTTTTTGCATTAAGGTTAATCAACTGCCTAAACCGGAGGTCTTCAACAGGGGGTCCTCAGCCCCTAGGGGGTTCACAGAGGAACTGCATGGGGGTCACAAAAGTTTTGGTTGATTAGACTTTTTCTATATTCCCCCCTGCAGTTTTTTTCCACTAATTGAAATATCTTTAAATCCACATTAACATGAATTCAACACACTGTAGTAAACAGATAAGTGGAGGCAGAGGATGTCTTTCTGGGCACCGTTTCGTTCAACACCTGTCCCATCAAGAGGAATCAGAATCAGAAATACTTTAATAATCCCAGGGAGAAATTACTTTCATTACTTTACTCCATCTGTAATAGAGTGACTATAGGACCAGTTTGATATAACACTATTTCTAACAATATGTATAATTAGGGGGTCCCTGCTCCATCTCGCCATCAGTTTAGGGTCCTTGGCCTGGAAAACGTTGAGGACCCCTCATCTAAACATCTCAGAGGATCTCCATGTATTGCCTGCAAAGGGAAGCTGTGTACAGTGAGCAGACCTGAAGTCTTTCCCGGTGTTAGCCTCTGCCTCCTGGTGCCTCACAGCGCTGCTGGACAATGTCCTCAGGATCGGCAGCCACCTGCTTCCACACCTAAACACACAGCGTGTCATTAGAACACCATGGATTATAGGTCCCCTGTCCTGCTTCTGTTAGCAGATGCTGATTTGTCCAGGTAAACTAGCAAAGCCTAGCAGCATTAGCCGTTAGCTAACAGGAGCTTATGTCACAACCTCCACAAACACTTACCGTGGAACTGTCACGCTGGCATTTAGTGGGGTGACCAGCTGTCTGCGTAACGCACTTACAGAATTCAACACCGCACACCTTAAATTAAACATGTTTCATTTCTATAAACACTTTTTTCAGTGAGGCTGAAAAAGCGTGACATTGAGAGTGACGGTGACGGACGAGACCATTCAGTTGAAGGAAGGGGGTGGGGTAGTAAAAACATCTTTCTGTCCGAATTAGTTTTCCAGCTGAGATTTAAATGGCTTGTTTATCTTTTTAAAACTATTAAAACGAATAGTATTGTCATGTGCGCCTTTACGTTTGTGCTTGCTTTTTGTTTGTTTTGTTCAAACGGAAGCCACCCCCGCGTTGAAGCATTTGTTCAATGGTATGGCCCTTCCGGTTAGCGGACGCTGATCAATTGAATAAAACAATAATCTGATATCCATAGATATCCATAATAAAGGCTAGGGCTGCGTCTCAATTCGCAGGCTGCGTACTTCCGAGGATGCAGCCTACCTAGCCTCCGGAGGACCCAGACTTGGTAGGCTGCTCCGGAGGATCCTCAGCCGCTGGTAAATGGGACCATAGATATCCA